GCTCCTTTTTCATTCGTTCGAAACGACCATCGTTTTCCATCGTTGCGTGCAATCCTGTGAAACGAGAGAGGGAGCGGAAAAAATAAAAGGAATATATTAAGAGTGTCTCCGAGTGGCGTTCTCCACGGCAGTCCGTTCGCTCTAATTTCTAATTATTCCGCCGGAGTGGTTCTAATTAGCGTAGCTACGTAGTTACCTACGTACAACTGTTTCCGGTGTGTCCGGGAACGGGGAGGAGAGGGGAGGGAGTGTATAGGTTAGGTAAATAAGCTCCTCGATCCTCTCTTTCTTACCGCGAAACGCGGACGTTCGAGAGAGACAACGTCCACGAAAAGGATTTTATCGTACACTCGTTGCCTTGGGCGCAATAATTATTCCCCCTTCGAAAGGAAGCACACTTGTAGAGGACACATCCGAACGAAACCATTCTTCAGAGTCTTTTTGCGACATAATCCGCAATAATGATGAATTTATTTCATATAATGTTTCGTATTATTTGTGGAGATATTGAAAATTTGTGGGATTTAAACTTTAATTAAATGTTTTTGTGTCGTAATTTTGTGATCCTTGGTGATTCTTTCTTCTTCCTTAAATGTGAAATCCATTTTAATACTATGATGATAGGATAATTTTCAAGAATTAATGAAATAGAGAAGTAATGAATTGAAAAAAAATGATAAATTAAAAAATATGTAAATACGTAATATAAATATACAAGTATGTTAGGTATTAGTAGTTACGAGCCACGTGGCGCTAGTATCGCGTCACTGATCTAATATCATAGTGTTAGAATATTTTGAGAATACTTAAGTGATAAGTAAATTTTTATGATATGTTTCTTATAAAATTTATAAATTTAGTGTATATTGATTTCGCACAAAATAAAAAAACTAAAATATTTATTTTCAAAAACGAATCATCGCGGATATTAAGTCAAGATTGTTTGCCTGTGTTGCAATTTATTTTTAAAAATATATCGAAGATATTACATAACAATCAATTATTTTATTATTCTTAACTGAATTATGTTATTAAGTTTTATTACTAACGATCTCTTCCACAGTTCCATGAGTTTTTTCAAATCATCGCGTATTATTATGCATTTCGAAAATAGCTCGACACTGGCTCTTTTTTGAAATTATAAATTATTATTATTACTATTAATAAAGTATTATAATTATTATCAAAACGTGAATACAAACCTCAATAACAACTCGACAAACACATTTGCGTGAAACATCGAAACTTGATTGCATTTTTTAAATTCGATTTCAAATCATTAATTCGACCTGAAACGAGAGAAATATCTTAAAATTCTTTATTCCCAACAATGTAATAATTTATATTGATATTAGAATCAAATTTCTTACAATCAATTGAACGAATCTCCATGCTCGGCAGGATTTTAATAAACGTTGCACGGGAAAAAATCTTGTTTAATTCTTGCGCCCGCTGGAAGCGTTCGAATGAAAATCCTCCCATTGCAGGAACTTTTACACTCGATATTCGCCGCGTTCCTGGTGTTCGTTCCGGAATCGCGCGACGATACCTGTTGCAATTGCTTTAATAACGCTTGCAGGATCACGGCGTTCGAAATAATTAAAAGTACAATATTGTGTCGCGTGCGCGAGAAAGAAAGAGAAAGAGAGGAGGGAAGGAAGAGGGAAAAAAAATCGAAGTACAGGGAGAAAGGAAACGAGTCTCCTCGGCCGAGGAAAATTCACAAAGGAATTTATTTTCACATATTTAATTGAAATGGTGGCTGGACACTTTGATAAAAAAAAAAAGGATAAGTAATTAATTGCTCATATTATTATGTCGTCCGTTTTATTCCGTTGTATTAAACTCGATATAATTAATTCTTTAAACTGCGCCGTTTGATCTTGAAAATGAGGATAATATTGTTTTAAGAGCCACCATAAAAAAGCCATTTTAACGGTCTGAATGTTTTTGAATAATTTGAAGATATCTTTTTAATTAAGATTCGTAATGAAATGATTAGTTACCGTTATTTTTTTCTTCTAGATAAATTCTTGAAAAAATGAAAGGAATGTTCTATATTTAGAGAATATTAAATAACTTTCGATAATAAATTTTCATTTTATTACGTATTTTTTTTACTTTTTTAAATTTCTATTTACTAATTGCTTTTAATATTCTAACTTTTATACAATGATATATTAAAAAGTTTAATTTATCATCTCTTATCACTTTCTATAATGAAAATGAATATATATATGATAAATCACGTTGTATCACGAAATGATATTTTCAGCAATTAATATATTATTTTTAAAGGTAAAACTTTTTATTCTAAATTATATTTTTACTATATTTTTATTAAAATATTTCTAATTACTTCATGCTCTTTTTTACAATTTTTAAAAAACTAATTGCAATAATACAATCCAGATTATCCTATTTCGAATTCGTCCGCACTGTTTGCAAAAAGAAAAGCAGAAGAAGGGTAGGAAATGAGATGTGGGCACATAGTCGAGGGTAAAAGGATCGTAGAAGCGAAAGCTGACATCGAGATGACAATTATTATTTCGAGTGGTTGGCGATGGGATGCCCGTGATATTTTATTTAAGATACAATCGCGTAATAGCTTGCTTCAAGAGGATAGATAACGCGCTGCCAGAGTGGTCGTAGAATGAAGAAGGAAGAAGGAAAGGTTAAGATGAAAAAAATTGATGCTTACAACGTAAATAAGAGAAAGGGAAGGAAAGCAAAAAGGAGATAAAAGGTGAAATTTGAGGGAAAAACAGCACAAAGAGGGATGATTCTACATTAGTAAATTACCTAAAACCCTCCCTCATCTCGTGATCACTATTAGAAACGATGACTGTGTTTCCTTTATTTATTCATGTTACTTCATCCACGAATAATTGAAGTATTTTGCGAATAATGATTGAGAATGATTTGAGATCTGAAATGTAAAATTGTAGAATATTTAAAAAAGGATAATTTCTTGGAAATACATAAGTGATATAAAAGTGCATTGTTAAATGATGAATAAAATAACTGCAAGTGTTATAGAAATAGATCATTAAGAATTACGATGGATAAAGCTTAAAATCATTCAAGCTCATATCAAATTCATACAAATTAAATGCAAATTTCAATAAAAAAAAGAAAAAATATTTACCAAAAATATATTCCCAATATCTTTTCCTTTTCTTTTAATTTCAAATTAGAAGAGTCAAGAATTAAAGATACTGGATCTATCATCTGCAAAATTCTCTCGATTCCTCTCTCTTCTTCATCTCTAACAATAATTCCTTCCAAATGTTCACAATTATCTCTCACTATTGAAAAGGATGTAAATATTATCTGCAAATGTTATCGACAGTTTTCTGACATACCCATTAGTTAGATTAAAAATTGAAAATGCAATCGTGTTGTTTGATAAACGATGATCTCGTTCCAATACGTACCACGAAAGAAAGAACCTCTTTCTCCTTCCTTTTTTTATCTCTCCTCCATGGAACACCTCCAGTGTCGAAAACGGCTAACAAGTTCGCACGTAACACGTCTGTATCGGTGGAGGAACGACAACGGTGGCGTTCGAACGGCATTTTCCTCGTCGTCGTTCGACAGGGAGGACGTTCGACGTTCT